CTATAAATGGGTGGTCAGTACAAAATGATCAAAACAAACCCAGGAAGGAGCACAGGGGTTAAAGGCAACCAAAGTAAATACTCTGACATGCACACTCCTATAATAACAGTAATCTATTACTGGGTACGTGGAACGCCACACAGCTGAACAAGGGTGGAGAGGCAAATGAGACTACACCCACAACTATATATATATACTGTTTAGGTTGATAGAATGCTACATATGTATTTATATGTGTTGCAAATATAACCATAAATATACTAGAACATGCAAGAGATAAAGTTATGAAACTTAACTATAACCAAATACCCTGAGGGGAATGAGTTGCTGGGTCTGAGGGCTCAAAAATAATAGTTTTGGGGAACACGAAGGTCAATCAGTACAATGTTCTACACTTTTTTTTTTTACCTGTTGCCTTTTAATGAAAAAGTGTTTCTTGTCTGCTGCCTCCACCCCCACCCCTCATCTACACCCTATTTAAAAGCTCATGAGTGGCTATGTAAGGTACAATTATTGGTCTCTCCATGTCCCGAGCAAAGAAGAGTGAACAAAATAAAACCACATAGAAACAAGTCATCCAGTGGACTATCAGGTACACCCCAGACAAACCTCAGCCTCCATGACCTGAGACCAAAACTAATGGTGTCTACCACGTCCAATCTCTGCAGGGATCGTTAGGTGGCTCTGGAAAGTGTGGGAGAACACGGAGCAGAAGCAATAAAAAGACCAGGTGTGAGGATTAGATTTGAAGTCTGCTTGATGCACCTGTGTGAAGGTATAGGAGAGTCCAACCTCTCAATTAGGACACAGCCTTGGGCGTGTGGCCTTTTCCACAGGTGCTGTGAAGAGATTGCTCTTCTTCACCTTACTGCTTGCGTGGATTGGGTGTCTGGCTCTGGGGCTGGTGGCCCATGTGGCCTGCAGTCTCTGGGAGCTAGCAGTGTCCTACCATGTTCCTGTTGACCTCGGATGCAGGCGACTGTGCAGCCACCAGCCTGTAATGTCCCGCTTCATCTACCCAAGAGTCCGAAGGGGGCTTCGGCTGAAGGGGGTGCTTGCTAGCATCTAACCCAGGGATTTGATTTGGACAGAGCTGGGCGGCTTCCTGGATATAAATTTCTTCCTTGGTATCTAGTTCTTTCACTTATGTAGATATTTCACATATAATCTTTCTTCATACCTAGTTCTCTCACATTATATATATATGTGTGTACACACACACACACACGTTTGTGTATCTATGTATGTATACCCTGGCCTTGTTTCTCTAGAAAACTCAGCTTAACTCACCAGGCTTACTGGGTTGATAAAGACTAGTGAAACACCTGAGATTTAGATATCTTTAACCCTTGAAGTTACCCCAATGGCTCAAGTTTCAGCCAAAGAATAGGTAAGCCTAGAAGGTGAACAATAACACCAGGTGGCATGTGCTCAAGAGAACAATAAACCCAGTGAAATGAAAGGGGCAGCATATGCCCAGGAATAAGGTCAGAAGGAAAGAGGATTTGAGAAAGGTAAAGGGTAAACGAAGGGAGGAGGTGGGAAGAGGGCTGTTGCTCTGCAGCGTCTGCAATGAAAGTCAAAAGAGAAATGCACGTGAACTAGTGAACGGAAACTCAATGTGCTCTGCAAACTCACCTAAAAGATACATGCTGAAATACAGACAGGTGAAACCATGCATAACATGATTATGATTTACTTCTCAAAAGAACCTTGGTTTCAAAATGCCTTCAGGAAAATTCCAAACTGACAAGTGTATTTATTTAGCTGCTTGTAGTTTGCTAATTGTCACAAAGGATTTTTCCTAGTAAAACTTTAAATCAGCTTAATAGCAAATAATTTTCATATTTAAAAACTCATTTTTTAAATGTCCTTAATTTCCCTCATGTTTACTGAGAGAAATAAAAATGGGATTTTTTTTCTATAGGATTTTCTACTGATTTTAAGCAGAAATGCCATCACTCTTTAAAAAAATGTAATTAAGCCTCAAACTGATGGATCCCTAAGGTTCCTTTTTTTCCCCTTTTCCTTCATGTAATACCTGTAATCTCATTTTATAGTCCATGTGGGAATATTCTTAAATCTCACACTGAAGTATCCCTAAGGTTTCTACACAGTTACGTTAATGATACATTTAACATATTGAAAAACTATGTAATTTTTTCATGCAATTTTTATGCAATTACATATAGAAATAGAAGCAGGACAGAACAGACCCATCTGCTAAGTCTAAGCAAATCCAAAAAACAAAGTGAGCCTGGAAAGAGCTGAGTATGTCAGACATGTCTCCCAATATCATCAATCACACAGAGACGGGAGGACGCTGCGCCCATCCTTTTCCCTCTCAGTAACAGAAGGCCACTTTCCTCTGGTCTATGGAAGCAGGAAGAGGATATTACCCCTCCTGTTAGGGACTGGATTGTGATCTCCAAGAAGATGTGGTCCTCACTACTGGACCAGTGAGTGTGACCCATATTGGAAATTATGTTTTCTCTTGATATGTTAATAAAGACAGACCTGAGAAGGGCGAGACCCTCTGAGAAGTATTATAAAAACCAAAACTCAGGGCCATGGAGTCAATTTCTGACTCACAGCGACCCTATAGGACAGAGTAGAACTGCCCCTATAGGTTTCAGAGACTATAGCTCTTTATGGGAATAAAAAGCCTCATCTTGCTCCTGTGGAGTAGCTGGTAGTTTCAAACGGATGACCTCCAGCCCAACAACTGGCCCACTATGCCACCAGGGCTCCAAAGTATTATAAAAGCGGAAAACAGACACTGAGAGAGATACACATAAGGGGAACTGACTGTATGAGGGCCACTGCACACCTGGAATTCTACCAGGTCAGTCAATGCCCAGATTTGGACTTCTGGCATCCAAAACTCTGAGACAATAAATTCCTGTTCTTTAAAGCCATCCACGTGTATGTTTGTTGTGTCAATACTAGGTAACTAAGATACTCCTGTAACAGGGCACTGTAAAATAAGGTAACGATCCTCACCTTCAAACTCAGACAATAGCCCCTGCTACAGTAACATAGTTTAAGCCAGACTGGGGATTAAGATCCAGTGGAAATACCAAGAAAACACTTAGGACATATCTGGAACTCAAATAGAACCCAGGCTGAAAATAAAGCTTTAGCAGTGTTTAAAGTGATCATTATAAACGTGGGAGACGAGGTGCCCTGGCAGAAGGGTACAAAGGTACAAAGAGAACAGGACTAACGACAGAATCTCAGGGAGTGATCAAGGATGGGGGTCCTGCCTGGGGTGGAGGTAGAATAGAACCAAAGAATAAATGGAAAGAAGAATAAAGTGAATCAGTACAGTGTTTCTCACTTTCCATCCATTCAGTGGTCTTTCCACCAAATCAAGGATCCTCAAACTTCTCTTAGTGGATGATATCCACAGGAATAACTTACTCCTATGCGCACAAACTCACTGCCATCAAGTCTTTGCCAACTCACAGCGACCCTACAGGACAGGGTAGAACTGCCCCTGTGGGTTTCCGAGACTGTAACTGTTAGAAAGCCCTGTCTTTTTCCCAAGGAGCAGGCAGGTGGGTTCTAACGACTGACCTTGTGGTTAGCAGCCCAATGCATAACCACTATGCTTCCAGGGCTGCTCATGGGCACACCTAGATTTTGACAAATCCTCTCTAAATGTTGCTAAGAAGTATTGCTGGAGAGATGGGTGGGCAGTTGGAGGGCAGGGGACAGTGAGTGAATAACCACTGGATATCCCGGGCATCAGAGTACTGGACATTTCTCATTTATGACAATAGTAAAAAATCTACAACCCAGCCATTTTGTGCATTCACGACACAAGCAACAAACATGGAGGTGCAGACAACAGTAAAGCGGGCTGTGATGGTTCAGGTTGCATGTCCACTTGGCTGGGCCATAATTCTCAGTGGTTTGGCCACTATGAAATAATGCAATGATACAGTTATCCTCCATTTTGTGATCTCACATGGTCAGGCTCCATTTTTTGCATAATGCTGATCTGGAACTACAGCATGTCAATAAGAGGAATGCAGTAGGCATACATAAAAGCAGTTTCAAGCCTATAAGCAACTATTCGTAAGACATCATTAATCATGCCATAAGGCATTAGATACCTTTAGGTTACACCAAATTGCCAAAACACTTTCACAACACTGTTCTCTGGAAAACTCATCAAAATGTACATTGGAATGTTAAAACATAACCAGAAATCTGATCAGATTTCTGACAGCCAAATCACATTTATTGAAAACATCATTTGAGATAAACTACACTGAAAGCATCCTATTTCACTTTATTCTGCCTAAACCTTCTAGTTCTCCCCTTAAGAAGTTCTTGCTTTAGGAGTCCCAGAACTTCATTCCAAGGAAAGGGTCTCAGCTAATATTTAACCACTGCAAGTCAAGTGTTCTCCTAGCTTGGGGAATGATATGCAAAAAAGAAAGCAACATTTTACTAGTTTCCACAGGATTCCTTTTCACTTGTCATCATGGAAGTCATGCTTTCATATAAACTAGAACCTCTAAAGAAATTTGTTGTTTTACAAACCCTTGTTGCTCGCTAAAGGAGCCCTGGTGACACTAAGAGATTGGTGTTTGGGCTGCTAACGACAAGATCAGAGGTTCAAACCCACCAGCCACTCCTGCACAGAAAGAGGAGGCTGTTTGCTCCAATAAAGGTTTACAGTCTCTGAAATTCTACACAGGGTTGCTATAAATCTGAATCGGTTGCTATCGTATCCATGCATTTTCGAAGTGTTTAGAAACTAGGTTATCCGCTCTTTAATCTAAATGTTCTAGACATCCAAATTAAGCTTCTCGACCCTATAATCTTGTGAGTCAAATCTCCCACAAGATGAATCCTATTGCTAACATTTACGAACATTGGATTCAAGTCACAGGTAACACTACAAAGCAAAACATTTAATTAGAAGAAATTCAAGTTCAAGAAGTCCAGTAAACACAGGGTTAAAAGAGGATAATAATGGAACCTACCTCACAGGGCTGTAGTGAAGATTAGATTATTACTTGCAAAGCAAAGACCTGGAAACAGTTCCAGGCGCACAAGCATTTAAGGGACCGGGGAGGTGGAGGAGTGGGCTTCACCGAGAAGTGAACCCAGTGGAGAGAGCAAGAAAGGGAAGGCACGGCTAGTGCCCGAGAGCTGAGAATGTATTCCCCTCCGGGAAGCGTCAACCCCGTTGTCAGGCAACCGCGTCACCCAGACACCCAAGTCTGCAACCCCCGGTCGTGACCGCGTAACCCGGGCACCGCCCCCGTTCCGCCCCGCCACCGCGAGATGCTGGTCCCGCAGCCCCAGCCTGCGACCTCCGCCCCCAAGGAACCCCAGCTCGGACGCGAGTCTCCCAGCAACGCCGGTGCCCTGGCGCCGGTTACCCGGGCACCGCCCGCGCCCATGGGCAGCCGCTCAACTCCGGCCGCGGGGAACGCTAGAGCCCGTAGCGCAGGCACTGGCCCTCCCTAGCCCGGCAGCCGCGCGATCTCCAGCCGCGGAGAA